CCCCCCCCCCCCCCCGCAGTGGCCCTAGCACCTACCTGGCATGTTCTTCTGGAAGTTTCCTTTGCCTTTGCATGTGGAACATGAGGTCCCCCCCGTTGACATACTCTATGACCAGGAACAAGCTGGCAGGAGAGAGGGGCAAGGAGTTGGGGGCTGAAATCACCCTGCAGCACACGTCCTGCTTACTGCAGACAAAAGCTCCACAATGTGGTCAGGCAAAGCAGAACCTCCCTAGGTGATCGCTTTTAGCAGCAGGCGGAGCCACCCCTGGGTGCTGACCTGCTGCTTCTTATAACAACTCCTAAATGGCCAAAGCAAGGAGATGATAGACCACCCGGGAGCTCCTGGGGTCAGCAGGAAAAAGCCCATGCTGAAAGGGAGGTTGAGGATTGGATGAGTAAGGTGCAAGGCCTGGTCCTGACATCTGCTCCTTGTGGTCCCAGGCCACGCTGGTTAACGGCTGTGGTTTCATCATGAAACAAGGTAGGATGCTTGTTTTTGGAAAAGAAGAAATAAATGTAGGTGTTCATTTATGTATTATTTTATCTCTATGTTCCCAACAGTGCCAGGTCTGTCTCAGGGTAAAAAAGGTTAAAATTAGGCAGGGACAGTGGTCAGAGGCCCTGGGTGAGTGATAGATAGATGATCAAGGAAGGAGCAGAGGACTGGATGGAGCATGGGGTGACGGGAGAGCACAGAGTTGTGGCCTGCCCTAGAGCAGGTTTGGCTCAGATGGGCTGAGACCCATGGGGTTAGGTGCCCAGGCCAGGTGGTGGCAGGTAAAGAAGCACGTCAGGGGGGCACAGTCTTAGGGTTGACTGCTCACACCTCCCTGTGTGGATGAACTCCAGGGAGGTGAAAGTAGGCATCGTGGATCAGGGATAAGGCAGTAATAAGGGGCCAGGCCGAACTGACCAGGTCTAACAGTAAGCTGGACACCAGGGAAGAGGGACAGGAATGGGTTTGACTCAGGGTTTCAGCATGGCTGTGGGGGTTGGGACATAGACACTCTAGTATAAGAACAGCACAGTAGGTCCAGAGGGGGATGGCCACCATGGGTCTGAGATGCCACCAGGCCTACAAGCAGGAAAGTGGAGGGGCAGCAGGGGTCAAGCAGAGGTCAGAGCAGAGGAGTGTCTGAGCTTCATGGGTATAATCTTTGGGTTTAGGAACTGGCATCTACCTCATGTCTCCTGACACTGGCCATGTGGTTTCTTTTACTAATAAGATCTTTTCTGCATTTAATAAGACTCAATTTTCAAAATTCAATCCACACACAATTTCCCAGAAGGGCAACTTGGGGACATCTGGGTCGGCAGTTCGCATTTGCTGGGACTGTTTGCTTTAGCAATGTTTGTTTGCAGTTTGCTGGTGTTGTTGGTGCTGCCGCCCACCGGCAGAAGGTGCGGCCAGTGCAGAAAGGACCAAGCAACCCTTCATCTCCAGCTCCTGCAAGAGCTCTCAGCTGGCCGGACTGAAGCTCACTGGCTTACTCAATCTACTGTGGATGGATGCCTGCATTCTGTCTCCAGAGCTCTGACGGGGAGCCAGGGAAGCCAGAAGAAAGTTAACTGGCTGTGAATCACTAAACAAGCTTTTAATGGCATATTTGGATGAGAAACAACCCCTAATATATGGAAATCAGAGCAAAAGCCCTCAGCACCAGGTGAGGAGCTGTGGATTTCCCCTAGGTAGGCCAGTATCAGGCATCCTGGTCCTGAAGAAAATCCCAGTATGCTTATGTGGAAGCCAGGGACAGCACTTCTCTTCATTCGTGTCTGCAGGATATACTCACAAGTCCTCTACAAACCTTGCGCTTGCCCTATGGGGTTCGCTGGCCCACTGCCATGTTTTATAAAGTTTTATTGGAACTCAGTTATACTCAGTATACAGTTGGCCCTTGGTATCCATGGGTAGATTGCATGACCCCCTTCAATACCCAAAACCCACCATTGCTCAGGCTTTGTATATAAAACGGCAAATGTACCGTGAATCCAGGCACATCCTCCGATGTACTATCAGTCATCTCTTGGTTACTTATGATACCCAACACAACTGGAAACCACACAGACAGACGGTTGTTACACTGTGTTGTTTAGGACATAGCGGCAAGGAGAGTCAGTACCTGGGGCTGGGGTACAGCTCAGTGGTACAGCATGGGCGAGGCCGTAGTTCTAACCCGATCACCACATCAGTACATGTTCAGTATGCCCCTCCCGCTGAGGACTTTTAACCACACTGGCAGAGCTACTGAGGATGCACGGTGCAAGGAAGAACCCATGGACACCGGCTGCGAATCACTTGTGGCTGCTACTGTGTAACTGTTCCACAGAGGTGTTCACTCTCTGGCCCTTACAGAAGCAGCCGCCCTGGTGTAGACAAGCAGGACACTCAACCCCAAGTGAGGAAGGACTTTAAGTACCCCTTAAAAATCCCTTAAGTCAACACACTTAATGATTGCAGCCTATGGAAGGCAGGTCCTGCGAAACTTGTCAGAGTCCACAAGATGTCTCACACCTAAAAATTAGTCAAAAGTATTTCTTTCACTCTCTCTGGGTGCTGAATGTGGGTACATGCCTTTAGTCCAAGCTCTCGGGGGGCAGGTGCAGGAGGATCTCTGAGTTCAAGACCAATAACCTGTTCTACATAGTGAGTTCCAGGTCAGATGGGGCTAAAGGAAGACCATCTCAAAAATAAAAACAATGACAACAAAAACACCCCCCCCAAATTCTCTGGGTGACTTAAAGCACAGTACTGATATTTTCCCACCTACCAGGACTCCTATGCTTGATGGGTCCTGGTCTACCTGCCATGAGGGAGGGGTCGATCCCTTCTCCTCAACACTCCCCAACACTCTGGGGAGCACACTTCAAGCTTTGGTGGTAACAGTCAGAAAGCCAGGTCAGGTCCTGAGAACAAAGGCAGACACCGTAACCTGGAGAACGCTAAGCCTCAGAAAAGCAGAAGGAAGGGCAGTATCTCTACCTAGAGAGGCCACGGTGAGGGCTCTAGGCAGGCCATTTCTGTACCAGATTTCTGTACCAGGGTTCTTCGTCTAATGGAAGCTACAAAACAGTGGGTGATCTCCCCCCCCCCCTGAGTCTCACTACATAGACCAGGCTTATTTTGAACTTTTGATCCCCCTGCCTCAGCATCTTGAATGCTGGGATTATAGGTGTGTACCACTATGACCAGCTTGCTCCTCTCCCTTCTCCTTTAATCTCTGTGTGTGTGTGTGTGTGTGTGTGTGTGTGTGTGTGTGTGCTTGCCACAGCATGCATGTGAAGGTCAGAGGACAACTTTAGGGAGTCAATTCTTCTTCCACCATGTGGGTCCCAGGGATCAACCTCGGGTTGTCGGGCTTGGTGGCAGGTGCCTTTACTTACAAGCCATGACAGTGGCCGTCAAACTGACCTCCAGCTCTTTCCCAATTTCAGTTATAAAAGCAACTGTGAAACGAAAGATTTTTTTGGTCTTTTTGGGACAGGGTCTCCCTGTAGCCCCAGCCGGCCTGGAACTGACTATGTAGACCAGGCTGGCCTTGAACTCACAGATCCACCTGCCTCTGCCTCCCGAGTGCTGGGATTAAAGGTGTGTGCCACCATCCCCAGCAAATTTCTTTTTGTGTATGGATAAAACCTTGGTATGGCTTTCAACATTTCTAGAAGCAGAAATTGCCCCCAGGGTCCATGCGCACTGCTCTGTAGGTGACTTGGGATGGCTTGGGTGTGCATAGCTGTGCCACTACAAGGTATATCTGCTCATGCAGTTGGCCCTCTGCAGGAGGGCCTGGCAGGAGCCTCCCACACCACATTCCTGAGCCTGAGATTCTGTATTGGGCCATGACTTCCTCTGCTAGCTGGGCTGCAGCCAACACCTCACACAGACGTACTCACAGGACACAGGCTGTTTGTGGGTTAGACTGGGACATCTGTCACTTCATCCATAGCCCCCTTGGACACATGGCTATACCAACTCTCCAGGGAGGCTTGGAAGCACGGGCAGGGGCCTAGAAGAGCCCACTACACTTTTACAGTTAGATCTCGTCTGCTCTTAAGGTTACACCACCGCAAGAAGGAAGCAGCGAGTAGCCTGAGAGTGGATTTTATCACCTATTCTTAACAAAGTGGGCAGAAGTCACTGAAACCCAGTAAAATGGATCCATCAACATAAGCAAAGGGATATAAACAGGAGCGGTTGGCTCTAGGGTCCAGGGCAAGGGCAAGATGCAGGTGATGGTGAGATCTACTGCTCCCCTGTCCTGCCTGCCTCACCAGGAAAGGACCCAGAGAAGAAACCACTTCCCCTGCTCTCTAGCAACATGGGCACCCAGCCCGGACCATGGCTCAGACAGAAAAGCCGAGAGCACCAGACAGTGTGGGGAGAGTCAGAAAGTAACACTATGAACTTGGCTACTGCCTGTGTTTACAAATAAAGTTTTATCAGAACACAGCCCTGCACATTTTATTAATTTTTTTCCCCTCTATTTTGAGACAGGCAGGGTCTAAGGCAGTCCAGGCAGGCCTTCAACTCCTGATCCCTCTGTCTCCAGAGTGCTGGGGTCATAGGCATGGGCTACCACGTCTGGTGCTGGGGTCATAGGCACGGGCTCCCATGTCTGGTGCTGGGGTCATAGGCACGGGCTACCATGTCTGGTGCTGGGGTCATAGGCACGGGCTACCACGTCTGGTGCTGGCATCATAGGCACGGGCTACCACATCTGGTAGCCATGCACATTCCTTAAACTTGTCTGTGGCTACGTTTGTTGCAGAACAAGCAGCCGCAATGAAAACCGTTAAGTCTGAAAACACAGCCATGAACCACCCCCAGGCTCTTGTGTCAGCAGTGACATCATAACCTAGTGAGCATAAGCATGCTCCAATGTCAGCAACTTGCTTGTCGAACGACACAGTTCTCAGAACATATCCCAGCTGTCAAGATAGCCGAGGCTACACAGACGGTCTGGTCATTTGAGAAAGCTTGCTAACTCCCAAAATAAACTAACAATGAAAACAAAAGCTTTCATAGTGCTCACTCTGTAGAACTCATTTACTCTAAACACTATGGGGTAAATAGTACCATTTTTCCTATTACATGGAGGGAGACACTGAGGCACCAAAGGTCCTGACATCAGACAACCCGTGCCTGGAGACCTGGTTTCCAGGTCCTGTCTTCTGTTCCCAACAGATGGCCCCAGATGACCGAGCCATTCAAGGAGGGGAGAGACATGATAAAGAGCCAGCTTAGATGTGAGTCTGCGGCACGGAGGACAGAACGACAGGCCAGACCAGACCCATGACTGAGGCCTGAGAAAGTTGAGATCAAAGCTCCGTCACACCAAAGGTACAAAACAGGAGCAGTGCACAGTGGGAAGGACGAGTCGAACCCAGCGCCGTGATGTTTTCAGAAAGACGTGAACAGACAAGGAAACTGGACATGGCCAATTCAACAAGAGAATTTCATCTTGTTCAAAGAAATCTTCTATACAGATGGGGAGGGGACAAGCTAGCTTTGATGTCTCAGGGACAAATTTGGAGCACACCACGAACTGTCTGAATGTCAGTGTGACTTGGAGAGGCTGGGGTCCTCAGATACCAGAGGATGCCCACTCTCTTCCTGGAGTCAGAGATGGTGCCTGACTGAAAAACTCAGTGACAGAAGAAAACAGAATAGCCAAGCAAGCACTGAAGGGCCTGGGGGAATTTACCACTTAAAATGAATAATAACAACACTGATTAATGCAGGGATGGGGGGGGAATCCCCACAGGGAATCCCACCAAGAGGTAATCCCAGGCCTGTGGCTCAGAGTAACCACTAGGCTCCCTCCCCAGTCTCTCTCTCTCTCTCTCTCTCTCACCACACATATACAAGTTCTAAGTTGTAGCTAATAAATTTTAATACTATTTAGGATTTTCCATAGAATGAAAAAAAATTTAGAAGTTGTTTTTCTTTTTTAAATCTAATAAGGAGGGGGCTGGGGAGATGGCTCAGGGGTTGAGAGTGAGTTCTGCTCTTCCAGAAGACCTGAGTTCAGCTCCCAGCACCCACACTGGAAAGCTCACAGTCACCTGTAACTTTAGCTCTGGGGGAGCCAATGCCTCTGGCCTACAAGGTCACCTGCACTCACATGCACACATCCACTCACACATAACTAAAAATCAAATGGAGAATCCAATAAAGACTTTAAGAAAATCAATCAAATATCAATACAAACAGCTATGAAAAAAATTAAGTATCAGCAAACTGAATTCAAACACACACTGTCAGACTAACACAGGGCTCCCTAGGCATCCAGGGGCGGGTCAGTGCCAGGTGACAGTTCACCTCAGGGAGCCCCAGGGAGTGAAAGTTCAACCATCTACAGAAATGTTGAGGAGCCTTCCAAGGCAAGGTGCTCTCTTTTTTTGGCATGGCTGCATGTGTGTGCATGTTTGTATATGTGTAGCATGTGTGTGCATGTTTGGAGGCCTAAAGTTGATGCCAGGAGTCTTCCTGGATCATTCTTTTTTTAATTCTTATTATTTTTTGGTCTTTTTTGAGACAGAGTCTCCCTGTAGCTCCAGCTGCCTGGAACTCACTCTGTAGACCAGGCTGGCCTGGAACTCACAGAAGATTCGCCTGTCTCTGCCTCCTGAGTGCTGGGATTAAAGGCGTGCGCCACCGCACCCCGCTTCTATCTTTTTTTTTTTTTTTAAAGCATTTTATTTAGGCCTATTTATTTGTCTGCATGTGTGTAAGTGCACCCATGTTGTGCAATGCCTGCAGAGGTCAGAAGAGAGCCTTGAACTCCCCTGGAACTGGAGTTACAGACAGTTGTTAGCCACCATGTGGGTGGGGAATCAAACCCAGGTCCTCTGCAAGAGTAGCCCGTGCTCTTAACTGCTCAGCCATCTCCCCAGCTCCCTTGTTCTATCTTGTTTATTGACGCAGAGTCTCTCAATCAAACCCAGAGTTCATGGATTCTGCTCCCACGGCTAGGGAATCCTTTATCTCTGCTTCCAAGGCTGGAACTGGAACTACAGGTCAGCAGTCATACCCACTGGACATTTATGTGAGTTCTAGTGATCCAAACTCTGATCCTCTTCCCTGTGAGGCAAATGCTTTAACCACTGAGCCATCTCCCCAGCCCACAATGCTCTTTCTTGATAGTAAAACAGAAACAGATGTAGAATTCCAAGGTAAGTACCTTTCCAAGCCAGTTATTGGTTCCTCTTCTTGTTCCACACTATCCTTTTAGGGTTTCTAGAATCTTCTCCCACCTCAGTCAGCCAGTCCAGGATTGGAGGGGATAGGTCCTGTCTCTAACAACTAATGCCTCATCCAGGGGTAGTCTCCCGTGACTCAGAACCCAGAGTAAAGGCCATGGGTAGAGGCTGGGTCTCTACTGTCCCTTCCAGCCCATACAAGGTACATGCCATCTGTCTAAAGGGTGTGGGAGTTTGTTCTGGTCCCTCCTATTTGGTTCTTCTTTTCTGACGGAATGTGTCTAATGTTTGTGCTCCACACTGTGCCACCTTAGTATTTTATCTGTGGGCCAGAAAACAGTGCTGGTCACTCTTACCAGTCACCTGGAAGGAGGGGATACCCAGCCAGCATCAGCAGCCTGAGGGGGATGAGGAGATGGCAATGCTGTGAGGGAGGACAACACTGGCCCTGCTTGTAGGGGTCACCACTGTGATCCCCAAGCCCAACAAAATGGCCTGAAAGTTCTAAGGAGAAGCCGTAAGGCCAGAGTGAGCACTAAAACCCAAACTTGCTAGGCATTGTAATGGAGAAGGGACCTCACCTACCATAGAGAGGAGAGGCAGGAACACTCAGGACAAAATTGAACATGAGGGAACTGTGAAGGGAACTTGGAAAGCAATGTCTCCGATGGGAAGTCAGCACAGGAGGACATCTACCTCATTCAGGAGTTTCCCACAGAAAACTTCCTTCTGTTTTCTGTGGTCAAACAGGTTGCTTCTAAAGTCCAAGTGGAAAAACAGGCATGAAAAAAACACGAAGAAGCAAGAGTGGTAGGCAGGGAGCTATGGTGAGCTCGGTGTACTGGGGGGTCCGCGGTGTACTGGGGGGTCCGCGGTGTACTGGGGGGTCTGCGGTGTACTGGGGGGTCTGCAGTGTACTGGGGGGTTCTCAGTGTACTGTGGGGCTGCAGGTGAGTCCTGCTTGATGTTTGTGCCTGTTGGAATGCTAAAGCTGGTTTCTAACCAAGAGGCTATTTGCGTGGCTCCTGTGTGTTGTTTGTTGTGTGTACGTGTATATGGGGGGTGGCAGGAAGGGTGGGGGCAGGCCTGGATGGCTAAGAGCGCTGTGCTACTCTTCCAGAGGACCACATTTTGCTTCCTGGCACCCATGTTGGGTGCTTCACGAGTATTTGTAACTTCGGTTCCAAGGTATCTGTCCCTTCTTCCCGCCAGAGGAACCTGCACATACATGGCATCCACTCATTCACATATACAGATGGACAGACAGACACACACATACTCATCCATAAAAACAATACAAAAAAGTTTTTAAAAATATGGAACGCTTCACAAATTCGTGTGTCATCTTGTGCAGGGGCCATGCTAATCTTCTCTGTATCGTTCCAATTTTAGTATGTGGTTTTTTAAAAGAATGGGGAACGGGCAAAGGGGATGGGGCTGGCTCAGTGGGGAAAGTGTTTGCTCTGCAAGCATAGGACCTGAATTTAGCTCTCCAGAACCCACGCAAAAAGCTGTGCCTGTAACTCCAGTGCTGGGGGTGAAGCTGGGAGCATGAGGCAGGATTCTCGGAGTTCACTGGCCAGTCAGTCTAGTCTCCTAGTTCAGTGAGAGGCCTTGTCTCAAAACCTACGGTGAAGAGCAATTAAGGAAGATATCTCAAGTCAGCCTCCGGCCTTGACGCACGCATGCACAGACACATACATGGATAAAACACACAGGCACACACACACAATGAATAGACAAAGAAGAACTGGGATGTGGCTCAGTAGTAGAGTGGCTGCTTGGCATGTGCAGGTCTGGGGTTGGACCCCCCTGTACCAACCAATATATAACAAAAGAAAGTTGAATGCCAGGCATGGTGTGTGCCTGTGATCCCAGCACTCGGCAGATGGAGGCAGGAAAGTTCCATGACAGTCTGGGCTATATAGTGAGACTCTAGGGGGAGAGGGGAAAGGGGAAGGGGGAGAGGGGAAAGGGGAAGGAACACGGACACAAACACGGACACGCACACACACACACGCACAGAGAGAGAGAGAGAGAGAGAGAGAGAGAGAGAGA